TAAAAATTTTAGGGTCAAAATATAATTTTATAAAAACTGAGGGGTCAAAATATAAATTTTAAAAATATAAATTTGCATTGTGCCCTCAATTTTTAAATAATTATAGGCTCTATTTTGGCCCAACCCTGACGCCTAGTTGTGCTCAACCCCAACATAGATAATAGATTTGCTATAAAATAATACAATATAATACACAAAAAATGAGTCGTATTATATACCGTATTAATTTACCATATATATTAGCTTATACAATACGATGATTGTACTAAATATTGTATTATTATACAATATAATGCTGTAATACGGTCAAACAAACATATCCTAAATAAAATATTTTTGTTGAATTTAATTGTGCATATGTGGAACATCAATGTAATAAAATATATGATATTTAAGTGGTTGGTCTCACGGTGACACGCTAAAAAATAGTGGCGAGCAAAAATTTTTGTTAGTATGTGCTAATAACTAAGAAAAATAATAGGGGCTATAAGATTAAGCTAATAACTAAAAAAAATGATAGGGGCTATGAGATTAACTTTTATATTTTTATATGAGGCTATATGTATATTACATAATACAATACATATTTATGTATGTAGGAATTTTTAAAGAAAAAAATCAGAAATGCCATTGAAGATTGTAAAAAATATTATTTATATCACTGCACTAAAAAAAAATTATTATTCAATTAATAAAGGGTAAATAAAAGATTATAATGACACTAAAATATTTATAATGATATCAATACTATGTTTGCACAAAACCTGATAAACTATGTACTTTTCTCTCTTTTATTTTTTTTTGTTAAATGAAAATTTTGGATAGGGGCTTAAGTTCCTACCAATTGTATGCTCAAAACCAATAGAAAAACTTTCAGCAATCCGGCCCCATTTCGTCTCAGATTTAACTCATGTTCCTCCAACAACAAACACATCTCCTATTTATTACAACCATCTCGGCCTCATTATTGTGAGTCTGTTTAGAACTTATTTTAAAATAATTTTATTTTTTATATGAAAATGAAAATGAACATTTTCAGTCTCAGACAAAAATCATTTTTGAAAATGCAATTAGTAGTTTTATTAAGAGATTATTTTCAGTATAAAAAAATATATTAATATTTCTCTCTTCCTCTCTGCTTGAGAGAGGAGAAAATAGAAATAAAAAATGAAAAATGACTAAAAGTTATTTTTTATTTATCTCTCATTTTAAACTAAATCAAAAAATCATTTTCATTTTCATTTTATGTCTTTAGTTGTGCCAAACGCCATTTCTCTCCCATTTTTATTTTTTCTTTCTCGAAAAATGTGAAAAATAAAAACAAAAACAACTCCAAACACATCCATAATGTCGGAAGCTTTGATGGCACGCCTAGAGGTGGTTTCAGAGCTCCGACCAAAATGCTCCTCTCTCTCTCTTTCTTTCTATCTCTCTCTCACTTTTACGGTTGAAGCTTGTAGAAGGTGAAATTTACAATTAAATTTGTTAGAGGCCAATGACTGAGAATTCAGATGACTAGAATGTTAGTATCGTGATCGCTAAGAAAATAAATAGATAGAAAAATAAAAAGAGTGAGAAACATAAATTAATAGTAGTTCTCTTAATAATCCAGGGTACGTTCACTGTAAGGCCTTCAGATCTTATAATATTTCTTATAATATTGATGAAGATTACAACGGTATTCTTTGTAAATGTCGAGAGAATGATATGAAAAATACTGAAAAGTATGTATAAAGTGGTAGAAAGCTCCTAGGAATGCTTGAGAATGGTGTATGTGTGTAATGATGGGCGTGCTCATGTGTCTCTGTGCATGGGCTGTATTTATAGGCCTTGATTGCTGAATATTTGATTTAGAGCAATTTTTTTTTTGACTTTTGATTGAAGATTCTTTCCTTATAGGAAGGTGGCTTAGGGAACAAGTTTAGGTGTAATTGACTTTCCCTTTTGCTATTATGAGGCAAGATTCCATGGAATATGGCTGTTGTGATGGTGGAATTAATGTTGAAATTCAGTTGTTGAGTTGGCAAGCTGGACTGGTTGTTCGGGTAGCAGACTACTGGACTGGTTGTTCAGGCAGCCGACTCAACGGACCACTAGTTGGTCGTTTTTGACGGACGATTTCTTGATTCAACCCTATTTTTTGATAAGTGTGCTGACACTATAGTGAGAAATGAGGTACAAAATTTGGCCTCAACAACGCTCCCAAAAACATAAAGAGTGTTTTGGACATTTTTCCCTTAATTAACATATTTATTAACTTTGATTTGTGCTACTTAGAGTCAAAGTTGTATTCTTAAATTATATACACAATTATAAGAAAACTTTAAATAACAATTTTCAGCTTATCTATAGTTATAAGTTATAACCATTTATCATGTGATATCACCCTCCATTATAATATTCATAACTAGAGTTATGTTAATTCCGTTTAACCTCTCTAAGGGGTAATTCAACTATGATCCTACCATAAACATAAATAGGGTTTATTTGATATCTAATCTCAAACAAGTTTGAGATTTCACTTACCCAAGTACCAAATTAATATTTCCGGAGAATATTATTACTATTCTTAACGAAGTAGTGGATTCCATGCGCATCAAATAATGTTCCTAGTTATCTATAATATATTACCTCCAACTTATCGAGCTTTTAACAAATATGTGATCTCACTTGTTGCAAATCAAACGATACAATAAATAAATGCGAGAATATCAATCAATCCGAAAGTAAATTCATAAGATTGTCAACAATAATATAATATAATTATTATTCACAAAATATGTAAGAATTAAATTCTATTGTGACTCGTTTAATGTATTCTAAATACACAGGTTTTCACATTTAGCAATAACTATTACCACGATCATTCTACTAGTTTAAAGATAGACAACACTAATCTCATCTTATAAAAAATAGGAAAATAGTAGAAAATATGCCAATATGAAAAGCTTAAGAAAGTATATAGGTCAATTTTTAGTTATAGAAATTAATAGGCTATAACTTGTTAAGTTATGATTCATAACCAGATAAGTTATGGACAAACTTGTCAAGTTATGGTTCATAACCAGACAAGTTATGGACAATAACTTGTCAAGTTATAGTTCATAACCATACAAGTTATGGACGAAAACAGTAATTTGGCATATTTATTAACTTATGTAAACTATTGGCCTATTAATTTTAATTAATCTCAAGTCTTGGTTTATTTCTCTCTTTCCCCCTAAAAAATAAAGCGCTAAATTTTATTTGTCAAATGTGAACCGAACCGTTATACTACGTAATTTGCAACTATATCTTATGGATTCATATACATAATGAAATGACTTATAGTAAAAATTGGAACTCTATGATACTTTACTTGTAAATATAATGTAGAGTAACAAATATATGAATCATTAATAATATGCAGTACTTTATTTTTTAAAAATGCCAAAAAGGATTATATAAGTATGCATTATAAGCACATATCCTAACAATTTTGCCCTATAAACAGTCTAGGTATTAATTATCATTTTAAAAATGACATTTTTTATCAATTATATTTTTGTTAAATTTTGAATTTAAAAGGCAATTATTAAAAGTATCTTTTATATACTAATCTTCAATTAGTGATAAATTCCCGGAGCAATGATACAAAAATATTTCCAATGCACTGGATAACATGTTTGTAAAAGTGGAATTAGTATATAACTCTTTTTTGTTGTTGTTGAAAATAACAAAATCACATAACAAATATTTGAATGATTTTCACATTTATGCTACAAAATTACATAGTATATTATAATGATTTTATTTTATTTTGCTACATATTTCAACATAATTAGTATAATTATGATATATGTCTAACGCACCATAGAATTAATATAAAAATTCAATGAAATTAAGGCGTGGGATAATATTCATTGCCATTTATGATCCTTCACAAATCATACCACATAATGGACGGAAACCAAAGTAAAAGGTAGGTATTTTACCGCATCAGCTAATAATTAGCTAATCAAAACCCTCATCATAGAGTCAAGACTCAAGATGTTGAAAAAGTTAGAAATATATTTTCCAAAGGAAACACATAAGTTTTTCCTCTTGAATTTAATAACAACAAAAACTACCCTGAAAGGAAAAAAAAAAAAAAAAATCAAACAATCTTCTAATTCTAGTTATAGACATAGAAAGATGACATCCACGCGTTAAAATTTGATAATTTACTTGTCTTACGAATATGCATTTATCATGACAGTATTGTAGTTCTTAGTAGACATCTATGGTGCTCTTCATGCATCTTTTACATCATACAATGAACCCAAAGAAAGTCCAACACAATTTAAATTAGGTAAATCACCTACCTCATCTTAAATTAGCTATGAATCCCAATTCCCAAACTGAAACCCTTTCTATAAAGTCAAGGCTCCAAAAAGACAACTTTAAATAAGGTTAATTTCAAATATGTCATCTAAAAAATAAAAATTGTCAAACTTTAACCATTACAATTTAAAGTGATCTCCTGAGTTTATAATAAATTATAATTTTGATACTTTTATCATCAAAAATTTAATTTTAAATAATTTTAATCATGTGTGCTCGTCAAGTAGCTCTCATATTATGAAAAGAACCATTAAAAACTTGTCCTTGTAATGACCAACACATGGTTAAAATCATTAGCAAAATTTGATGACAATAACATAAATGTCAAAGTTAGAACTTGTAATATCCTTGAGGAAATTTTATTCTATTTTAAATTGTAGGAAACAGTCGAGACAATTTAATTCTTCACGGGTCAAATTCAAAATTAACCAAAAAAAAAAAAAAAAATTCTTCTCTCGATCCCAACAGTCCCAACCTGAACAGAAAATTGGAATTAGTCATTAATCAATCTCACATCCATAATTACAAAAACACCCCTGGACTAAAGAATATTCCTTCCTGGTCCCTCTCTCACTTGTGAGTAGAGCGTTAAAACCTTCTCTCTCTCTCTCATTCCCTCCCAAACCCAAAATCACAATTTTGAGAGAGAGAGAGAGAGAGAGAGAAGGGACTCTCTCACTTCCTCAGCCACCATTTAAGACCAAAAACCCCAAACGAACAGAAAACACAACAAAACAAACACATGCGTGCTCAATAAGCCATTTTTCCCCCTTTCACTTCCACACACGCGCACAAAAGTCTATTTTCTCCTTTCTCTCTCTACAAACAAACCCTAGATCTTACATCATTCACAACACAAACCCTTCCGAGCCCACCACACTACCCATTTTCCCAGATCTGGCTAATCCTCACTCACAATTCTCCTCAACCCAGTTCCAATTCCATCCGATCGGTGCAAAATCCAAGCAAATTTTTAGACAAACCCATAACGCGTTTTCCCCAAAATTTCCCCTTTTTCTCACTGAATTCCGCGTTGTTTATCACCTGGGCGGCGTTAATTTGACCGAATTGCGTGTTGTTTAACCTCAATTTCGCTAGATTCGCGATTAATTTTACTGGGATTCTATCGAATTTTTCTGGGTATTAATTATTATCTGATTCATCTGAGCAAATGCTTTGTTATAATATTTTTTTCTAGTAGTGGAGAATTCGAATTCCGTTGTGTTTTGAGAGCGAGAATTTTTCTCATGGCAATGCCATCGGGAAATGTGGTATCTTCGGACAAAATGCAGTTCCCGAGCGGCACCGCCGGAGCCGGCGAGATCTCCCACCATAACAACCGGCAGTGGTTCCCTGACGAGCGGGACGGGTTCATTTCGTGGCTGCGCGGGGAATTCGCAGCGGCCAACGCAATGATCGACTCGCTCTGCCACCATCTCCGGGCCGTCGGGGAGCCCGGTGAGTACGACGCCGTCATCGCCTGCATCCAGCTGCGGCGCTGCAACTGGAACCCCGTCCTCCATATGCAGCAGTACTTCTCGGTCGCCGAGGTGATGTTCGCGCTCCAACAGGTCGCCTGGCGGAGGCAGCAGAGGTTCTATGACCCGGTCAAGATGGGGAACAAGGAATTCAAGCGATCGGGAGTGGGGTTTAAGCAATGGCAAAGGAATGATAGTTTCAAGGATGGCCGTAATTCTGCTGCGGAGAGTCATTGTTTGGATGGGAATTCTTCGTTCGGCAATGCCGCTTCGGAGAAAGGCGGGAGTGATAAGTCCGGCGATGAGGTCGGGAATTCGGATGACAGAGGTTCAATGCCTGCTGCTAAGGAGAAAAATGGTAAATAAAATTTTTTTTTTTTTTTTTTTTTTTTTTTTTTTTTTTTTTTTTTAAATGTAATGTGGACGTGTTATTTGTATGACTAAATGTGTTCGTTTTAGATGACAATTGCTCTGTTATTTGGTAAGTTTAACTTTTAAAGTTCTGGTTATGACGTTATGTTAGATAGAGACTTCCTTTAGTCGGTACCGTTTTGTTAAAGATTGCATCTTGCGTGCTGATTATGTTAGATAGAGACTTCCGATAGCTTTATTGGGACTAATAAAGATGAAAAGAAAAATCTATTTTTATGGACTGAAATTGTTTCTTAGCGTTTGAACAAATTATTCTTTTAGCTTTTTAGCTGTTTGTTATCAGAAAAATCTGTTTTCAACCCGGTGTTTTTAATTTGTGGACGGAGATGTTTAGTGATGACTGATAACTTTCTTTTGATGGGATGATTTCCTAAGGGCTTTGGAACACATGATGTTATTACAATTTTTCATTTGGGAGTTTTTTTAATGGGTGGTTTTCTAATTGGCTAGCCGTTTATATTTGGTAAGCGTTCCTGCAACAAAAATATTTATAGTAATAAACTTGCTTAGGATTCTCTTTAGTTGTACAGAAATGGTTTTGCTTTTTCCTTTTTTTTTTGTTATTAATTTTTTTTTTCCCTTTGGTTTTTGTTTAACTTGGAAATTTAGAAGGTTAGATAGTGTGCATGCCATTTCATCCTGAAACGTGAAAAAGCACATTCATGGCTTCTTGGGTTTCAAGTTTGCTGCTTGGTTTGTAAATAATGACTTCGTCTCAAACAAGGATGACAAATTTATGCGCATTTACGCATAGGTTGAGTATATGTGTTATTGTTATATATATATATATACTGCCTAAGTTTGACCATCGAGTTTTATTAATGTTAAGGGTATGACTATAATTAAGCTTATACTTTAGTGTGCTGATTGAGTGCGGCGATCTTGATATGTAATTTTTGTGATTTTGTCAGATTCTGCAGCGAAATCGCAGGAAGATGGTAATGTGAAGAGCTTAGGGAATTTTGAAGGAGTGGTATCTGGTTCAGAACCTGAAGTTCATGCAGTAGATGATGGATGCACCTCAAGTTCTAAAGGTATATGCCTTTTCTATGGTATCATTTATTTATTGGTGTCTTCGAAGGAATAGGGGTTTGTCTAAGATTTCAACACTTGGAAGCTGTTAGGATCCTGAAAATCTATGCTTCATTAACAATACTAGAAATGAAAAATTACAAGAGAGATGGGTGGTTTCGAGGACCCCCGCCCTCCAAAATAATGCACAACACTAGACACTCTCTACAAATCTGATTATCCCCTCCCTAGCCACTAAACCCCCTATTTATACTCTCCTTAAGACTATTGAAAAATATTTCTAAATATTAGGTTCCTAACATTACCCCCGCCCCAAAGAATCACCTTGTCCTCAAGGCGAAAATCAAGAAATAAAATTGAAAAATAACATCTAAATGATTACGAATAAAAGGCTTTGTTAGTTCCTTGATTTGAGTCCCCAAATTGATGTTATCCTCGTAAGTCATATCTTCAAATTGGAGCTAATCATTTACTTTCTTCGCCATCTTCTTTGTATCTTGGAAAGCAACCACAAAGTCTATCAATTCATTTGAAACTCTCTGCGCAAGCTCATCAATGGTCACAAAAAATATTGGCAAATCGATCCTCACTAAGGGAGTTTCCTTTTTAGCCAACCAGGACATCAACCTTACAGCCTCACTCTCACCAATTTCTTCATTCCCATCTGCAATCGTACCATTCCCAGCCCCAAGCGTGTCAAAGTTTTGAGGCTCGACTGTCATTGCACCAAACCCCAAAATTGACTCTGCCCATACCGAAAACACTAGACCCAGCCCACTTCCGAATAGAATTTCGGGATTCAACTCCAAAATCGCCGGATTTCGCATCGGAATTCCCCATCCTAGCCATCATCTTGCCGGAGCTAGCCCCAATGGCGTCAAAATCACAAAACCCAGCCTTAAGGGCGTCGGAATTCATGGACCCCACTCCAATTCCGCCGGAATCTTCCTTTGTAGCACCGGAACCAGCCCCTTTCACGCCGGAATCGCAAGGCCCGGTCCAAATAGCAGCCAAATTGTCGAGCCCAGCCTCTGTCGTGCTGGAATCTGTCTCCGTAGCATCGGAACCAGCCCCTTCCATGCCGGAATCGCGAGGCTTGGTCCAAACCGGGCCGGAATCAACCCCAACCGTGACCGAATCAGGGCTGGGTTCCCTGTTCCGAGGGTGCCCATGCCGTCCCAGCCTCAGAGCAAGCCTCTCCTCCTCTAACTCCGGCTCCCACTCCACTTCCCGTCACCGACCAAGCTCTGCCGCCCTCTCCCGACGGTCGCGACCTCCTTCTGCCCTCCTCCCGTCGTCGAACAAACCCTCGCGCTGCAGATCCGGACCACCTAGTCCCAGATTGCAACGGATTTCGCGCTCCTCCATGAGACCCACGTCTCTCTGGCGTCAGAACTCCCTCTCGCGGTCTCGATCTTCGCCAATCGGCGCTTCCTGGCGAAGATCCGCCCGATTTGGCACCTCCACTCCGCCTAGGTCAACGCAATCTGGGCCCCGAGGCGCTCAATCTCGCCTCTCCTCGTCCCGTCGTTCGCCGTCGCGACCCAACTCAGCCTTCCCGGCCATCAGCCGCGCCGTCAGCAGTGCCTCCGTCCTCCGCAGCGCCGCCTGCACGTTACCCATCTGGGTCCGAATCTTCCCCACATGGTCCCGGAGTTCCCCCATACTCCCTCCATAAACCTTGTGATTAGCTCTTAGAACAGCCCGAAGTTTCTCTCTCAACTGAAAGAGCTCCGTGGATTGTAGATGCTTTGATACCATTGTTAGGATCCTGAAAATTTATGCTTCATTAACAATATTAGAAATGGAAAATTACAAGATAGATGAGCGGTTTCGAGGACCCCCGACCTCCAAAATAGTGCACAACACTAGACACTATCTACAAATCTGATTATCCCCTCCCTAGCCACTAAACCCCTTATTTATACTCTCCTTAAGACTATTGAAAAAGACTTCTAAATATTAGGTTCCTAACATTTGATTCTAATCGGTGTTTAGCTTGTAGTCTTCATACGTTTATGTAGGGTCTTTCTTAATGCTGGAGAGTTCTTGATCATTTGAGTTCATAAATTGGTCTCTCAATCTTTCTCAATGTGTAGATGTGTATTATTACTTGCATCAGCTGTCTCAAACTGATCACTTACAATGTATGGTATTCTGGTATACTGCTATTGATAATTTATCAAATTTTTGATGCTTTCAGAGAATGATTCACATTCCACACCAAAGCAGAATGAGAATTCAAATCTTGCTAATGTCCCCAAAACCTTTTCTGGCAACGAGATGTTCGATGGAAAGCCGGTAGTCTTCTATTTGGAACTTTAATGCTTTTTGTTTGCCTTGAAACTGTTGCTGAAATTTGTAGTTTTTTTCCCTTTTCCTTGAAAGTCTTATAATCTTTTGGTTTTTTACTTCTATGATGCACTTATCTGCTTTCTAGGTTAATGTGGTTGAAGGGCTAAAATTGTATGAAGAATTCTGCGCTGATACTGAAGTGTCAAAACTTGTTGCTCTGGTAAATGACCTGCGGTCTGCAGGAGAAAGAGGACATTTTCAAAGTAAGTTCATAAAGATGATTTGTCATATAGAATGGATTAAAGTAGCTGATTTATTTTTAAGGCTTAATCTATAATAATCCATAAAATTCTTGCATCTGAGATGAATGATGTTCATGATTTCTGTTCTGGTATTTGTCTTGTCATTGGTTGCAAGACATTGAATTGAAATTGGTTGACATTTCCGTGACAGCAGTCTGCAATTCCAATGACATTGCAACGCACGTATGTAATCTGCTATGTTCATATAGCTTTGTTTCTTTGTTATTTATTCATATGTTGGTCATGGCTTTATTGGAGTAGTTTGTCTTTTTAGAACCACAAACTTAATTTGTATTTATGTGTGTATATTGCATGCTGTTTACATTTTTGCATGTCTGAACCATTTGGCTGCTAACAATTCTGTTGTATCTTATTATTGTTAATCCTTTTCAGATATGTTTTATCTTGGTGAATATCAGGAGGAATGTGCTTCTTGCATTATTCAGACAATCAGACTATAAGCGGATATGATTTTATTCAAAGATAACTTCTGTTTTCTGAAACTAGAACAATGATTTTTTTTTTTCCGCTCGCTTTGATAGATACCTTATCACGAGATCCTTGTATTAGGGTTTTTTTTTTAATTTTTTTTTGTTATTCCGCTTGCTTTGATAGATACCTTATCACGAGATCCTTGTATTAGGGTTTTTTTTTTTTTTTTAAATTTTTTAAATTTTTTTTTTTTATAGCTCCATCTATTTATATATTTTCGTTAACCTTGTTAAGACAAGAGAGTTGAGTTATTGATGGTGTATAAAAGAAATTGTCTTCTTATAGAGACGAATCTAATTATAGCTGACATTTTTTTTTTCTTCATGCAAAGCAGGTCAAACATATGTTGTCTCAAAGAGACCAATGAAGGGACATGGAAGAGAGAAGATTCAATTGGGCCTTCCAATTGCAGATGCTCCAGTTGAAGATGAAATTTCTGCAGGGACCTTAAAAGGTACTTTTGAGTTTTTATTTTGAACTTTTTCTTTGGCAACATGGAAAAATTTTGGGCATCTGACATTTTAATTTAAACCATTGATGAGATTTCTTCTAATTAAAATATGCAGATCGGAGAACAGAAGCCATCCCTCCCTTGCTGCAGGATGTGGCTGAGCGCTTAGTCAGCATGCAAGTTGCAACTGTGAAGCCAGATTCTTGCATAATTGATTTCTATAATGAGGTCGCTAGTAGTGGAATTTGTTTTATGCTTTTCAATAAGCATTTAGTGTGCTAATCAAGTGTAATTTTTTGGTGACAATCTTGTAGGGTGATCATTCGCAGCCTCACTTGTGGCCATCTTGGTTTGGAAGGCCTGTTTGCGTCCTGTTCTTGACGGAATGTGACATGACTTTTGGGCGAGTATTTGCAATAGACCATCCTGGGGACTATAGAGGCGCCCTTAAGCTTTCTCTTAAACCTGGGTAACTTTCATCCTTTTTCCTTCTGCTAGATTATTTGATCCGCTTAGCAGCACCATCCTCTTTATAGAAGTACCATTCTGCTATTTTTTGTTTACAGATTACAGATATTGGGTTTGTTGGGGTTGCTTCTTTCTTGATAAGAAGTTTGTTGGGACTGCTTTATGATAGGGTCTCCTGCTCAATAGTTTGTTGCTTTATGCAGAACAGATCGACAGTTAACTTACTGTAGGGTAATGGGCATTAAGTGAAAAAGGCAGTATAGCTTATTAGAAATCATTGCTGGTGCCAAGTAAACTAAATAAGTCTTAGTATTGCTTTCATGTGACCTAAGATCCCTTTGGGTTGCACTCTTCAGAATGTGGCATGGCTACCATTTACGACTAGAAACCTAGTTGTTTCCATTCGTATCTTGATGATATATGAGGGCATGGATTGGAGACATTTTCCTAAGAAAAATGCTAAAGATCAAGTGGTGCGCAACACCACATGCCCTGTAAGAGTGAAAAATTACGGAAGGACATCAGCGGAGTTGGGTTTGGCTACTCACAAGTCACATGAGGTGGGATCCCGGATCCATCTTATGTGAGTAGTGGAGCTGGACTTCTTAGCTGATTTAAATAGCAATAATCAAAAATCTATTCTTGCCATGCAGGTCCCACACTACTTCATCGCAAAATGCGATTGAACTAAAAGTAAGTGGTGTGCTAGGCACCAATGATTGCAAAAAGGACTCCATTAATATTGGGGCAAGGGTGTTCTTTTCATAGGTTTGAGGGGAAATCTTGAACTGCAATTTAAATTTTTGTGAAAGGGAATACTGTAGCAAAAATGTTGAATTGTAATTTGAACCAACGAAAAGAACGGGGTACATGATTCAACATTTTGTATCTAAACAGTTCCAAGGCTTTTTATTCTATTTTTTTATAATATAGTTTTAAAATAGACAGCTGAGATTATTTTAGGTGTTGGTTTCTTGACCTTCGTTTGTTGCTCAACTTAAGATCATTTGTATTTTTAAGATCTCCGCTATGGCCTTGTCTTTAATGTCTCCCTACCCTATTTCAATGCAGATCCCTCCTTGCAATGCAAGGGAAATCCGCGGATTTTGCGAAACATGCAATTCCTTCCCTGCGCAGACAACGCATACTTGTAACTTTCACCAAGTCTCAACCAAAGAAATCCATGCCAAGTGATGGTCAGCGTATGCCTTCACCTGGAGTCGCTCCATCATCACATTGGGGTCCACAACCCAGTAGATCCCCTAACCACATCCGGCATCCTGGTCCGAAGCATTATGCCCCAGTTCCCACCACTGGTGTATTGCAAGCTTCCCCTGTTCGTCCTCAAATCCCACCTCCTAATGGCATCCAGCCACTTTTCGTGACTGCCCCGGTTGCACCAGCCATGCCTTTTCCTGCACCGGTTCCCATTCCACCCAGTTCAAGTGGATGGTCAGCAGCTCCTCCCAGGCATCCCCCGCCCCGCTTGCCCGTTCCTGGCACTGGAGTTTTCCTCCCTCCACCAGGATCTGGTGGCAATTCATCAGGTTCTCAACAGGTACTGGGCAACGACACAAACCACACTGTTGAGACTGCAGCCCCGCCAGAAAAAGAAAATGGATCAGGAAAGCTGAACCATGGTATGACTGCTTCTCCGAAAGGAAAAGTAGATAGCAAAACTCAGAAACAGGAATGCAACGGCAGCTTGGATGGGAGTGGAAGCGTAATATCAGTGACGAAGGAGGAGCGACAGCAGAGCAGTGACAATACAGCAACTAGCAAGTCAGCTGCAGCAGTTTAGAGAGAGAGAGAGAGAGACAGACAGAAAGAGAGAGATATATATAGATAGAGAGAGAGAGAGGGAGAGATTCTTAAAATGGAAGAACGGCAATGAGTTGGAAGCAAATGTAAAGAGCGGCAACATTCAAGACTTTTGACATCATACCAGCAAGAGGATTGTAAGGGAGAGAGAACTTCTTTAGTTCTTGAAATCCCTTTGTCCTCTGTTCTTTTTTGTTGTCCTACCTATTATATGAAACTCTTACATTAGGTGGAAAAGCACGACATTTCAGTTTAACTTTGCTCTTCTTTTCTATCTTCTCTTTCAGCTCAAAAAATTTTGGTCTGGATCACTTGGTCTCTTTCAGCCAACATAACATTTTTTTGGCTACTATCTGCAGACGTGAAATTCAGCGCATTTAGAACTCGTTTTAAAATGATTCTGTTTTTTGTATGAAAATGAAAATAAAAACATTTTTAATTTCAAGTAGAAATTATTTTTAAAAATGCGTTTAGTATTTTTATTAAGAAATTATTTTCAGTATAAGAAAAAATTGAAATTAAACTCTGGTTATACATTTTTGAAAACATCTAATAGTATTTTAAATAATATATTAAATAAGAAAATGAAAAATATTTCTTTCTTATATATGTATAGAAATAACCCATTAATAGAATAATTATATATATATATATATATCTCTGAGAGATGAGAAAACGAAAATAAAAAATGAAAAATGACTTAAAGTCATTTTTTATTTTTCTCTCATTTTACACGAAATTAAAAATTATTTTAATTCTATTTTTTGTCTTTAGTTGTTTCAAACACTATCTTCTCCTCATTTTCATTTTTTTTCTCGAAAAATGTAAAAAACGATTTTAGAATCAATTTTAAACACGCTGTCTTTCATTTGTTCTTGGAAAAAAAAAAAAAAAGGTCTTTCACTCTTCTGTTTTCTCCTATCCTTTACATTAATTGGATTCTTTAAAATTTATTATGAACATTGTGCGGAAGTTTAGAAGGGAACTGAGTTCAAATGTGAAGAGATATTGATCGCAGCATGATCCAATAGTTTTGTTTGGTTGGCTCTTTTCTTCTTAAATAAATAGGGGAAAAAACAATAATTGGGGACTAATGTTTGAAATTAAAAAAGTCTGTTGTTCGAATGTAATACTGAGGGGGATACGGAAAAGTATACTAATTTTCTGCCAAATCTTTCCAATACAAAGATTATTTAGTTTAATAACAATAATTATTTTTTGATTAAATTGTTTGTTTATAATAATTACAATTTTGATTAAATTGTTTAATTCTTTTTGTAAAATTTCAATTGTAAAAGTGTCAAAATTATAATTTATTATTTACAATAATTGTAGGAAATAACATGTTTTTTAAAGGATTTGTAGGTAGACAACATATTTTCAAAAGAATTAAAGAAATATTTAAAACAATTGAAGTAAATAACATATTTACTAATAAATATTTATTTATCTGATGTAATATAATATTTACTGGTAACATTATATTTATTAATAAATAATGTATTTACACTCAGTAAATTGACTAGTAAATATACTATTTATATACTGTTTATTTCACACGTCTTAAAAATTATTTTTTTTAAAATATGTTATTTGTCTTTTTCATCCTTTAATAAAATTTAAGGGTAATTTAGTATCGTTTGTAAGAGATAAAACGAGAAAACCTCAAGCAAAAAAAAAAAAGAGATAAAACGAGAAAACTCTCGTTCTTGCTTCTTGGTAGGGTGGTATACAAATTTTTCTCAATTTTTTTTCAATTATGAAAAGAGAAAATTATAGATTTTATAATTAAAAATTAAAAATTTTATTTTTTTAGTACCTAACTCATTAAAAGCATTCTTTTTAAAAAATTATATCCCTTAACTAATTTTAATCTAAAAAATAAAAATATATAAACTAATATTAAATGATAAAAATAAAAAAAGAGCTCGAAGGTAATTTAAAATTTTTCCTTACTAAAAAGGAGAATACTTCTTTGGAGCTTTTCAAACAAGTCCGAAACCTATGTAGCAAGCCGCGACTATTTTAAGTCCTACGTTTACATTTCAGAAGCGACGATGGCGTGATTCGTGGCTGCAACCTTCGGCATCTTTTGAGTTTTGACAATCAAAATCCTCTTCCACAGAAAAACAGACAATACGAGCACGCCAGAAATGGCGGAATCTCAACACCCGCGACTAATCCTCCACAATTTCCTCTCCTTCCATGAATGCAAGGTTGGTCCCATTTCTTCAAAATCTTTCCATGGGTTCCTTTTTTTTTTTTTTTTTTTTTTTTTTTTTTTTAACGTATCGAGACAATAGATTGGCCCTTTTTTTTAAAAATTTTTTCTGTTTTTTTTTTTTTTTTTTTTTTTTTTTTTTTTTTTTTTAACGTATCGAGACAATAGATTTATGGTCGTGAGCCAAGTGGGTATTTGTTTATTGGTTTGTTTGTTGTCAGGAACTGGAATTTATTCACAAGAGTTGCAGTACAGTGGGTTATAGACCCAATGTCTTCTCAACGACTCTTTCTCATCTTATAGCTACCAACTCTTCTCATCTCGTGATGCCCTTTGTTCCCATTAGAGGTAAAAACCCAAAACCCACTTCTTTATTTGGTTTGGGTACCTTTGGAATTTACCCCCAAATGCATTTAGTACTTTACTCTTGTAAAAAAGAGAAAAAAAAGGGGGTACATTTCAACATAAATTCAAATTTTTCTCAAGGAAAACACTGTAGCATAAAGGTTTTAACTGCGATTCGAACTTACGAAACGAACTTAATTCTTTATGATGGAAAGGGTGTATTTGGAACGTCTGCCCTTTGAATTTTTCACAGTTGGTAAGTTGCTTTCTAAAGTGTTAATTTTGATGAATTTTACTATATCTGAGTTCAACAAAATGTCTAAAACGATGAGAACTATTAAAATTTACACGTTACGCGAGCTTGTTTGAATGAAGATATTGACGCTTCAAATGACAGTTGGAGAATGTTATGTCACGAGGGCATTTCCTTCTAAATTTTAATATCATTCCTCAATTTCGGGCACCCCCGCAGTAATATTGGAAAGTAATTTGTCTCAACTATCAAATCAAGGTTTGGAGAAAACTTGCCAAATCCAAACAAAATTCAGGGAGCAAAAGTGCCAAAACTACTGACGATAATGAAATCTTAGCGAAAGGTCTAGGAAATTATAATATCAAGAATTGAATGGCATCACAAAGTACTTCAAAGTTTAGAGAGTGACAATGTGACATGGCTATTTTTTTAAGCAATGTGCCAAGGGAATTATTGTTTGATCTACCATTTTTTTTTATGAAATTGTTCCTAAAGAAGCTTCCGTTTTTAAACCTGAAACCATGGAATAGAGAGGCTGAAGGAGAAGGTAGAGGAATTCTTCGGGTGCGAGTATGAACTCTTTGTTGAGTTCACCGGTTTGATTAGGTTTGTGCAGTATACGCAATGTCTTTTCTTATCAGAAGTGCATCAATGAGTTTTCTGTATTGAAACATGGTATAAATACCGTTCATTATACATTCAGCTGGAGTAGAGGAGCAAGTATCGGGTGGCATAGCGATGACAATAGGCCTTATCTCAAACAACGCGATTTTTCGGTGCGTATGCAACTTGTCAGACACATTTCACTAACACTACTCCTTTTTGTTTAGTCATTGTCTCCTCTGGTGTCTCTTTGATCTCTTTGATCATGATCTGTCTGTTTAAGAGATGATTTTATCCTTTGTATCGACAGTTTGCTCCATTTCTTTCTCTATGGTTTCTTCCTTTTACAATATATTGTTCTTTATCGCATTTATGTCTATTTTGAAAAATGTTACTCAAGTGTTGACCGTTTTCATTAATTCTGACTGGAAAAGGCAGTTTGTTATTTGAACAACTATGGGGATGATTTCAATGGTGGAATTTTCCACTTCCAGGACGGAGAACCGCCAACTATTATACCGTCGCGTGGAGTAAGTAGGGATACTTAAAGGTTTCTGGAAGTCTTTTAATCTACTGCGTGTTATTAAAATTGGAGCCTCAAAACTTTTGTCCCGTGGAAAAACTAAAAGAAATATCTAATATCCCCGAAATTTTCTTATTTTAATTGATTGACCAAATTTCACAAAGCACTTTTATATTTCAGGAGGTTGTGATATACACAGCTGATAGCCGCAATGTTCACTCTGTTGATGAGGTATCTCTCTCTCTCTCTCTCTCTCTCTCATGCATATATATTCTTACACACTTGCATACATCAGGAAATATATTTATGGTCAGGAAATTATTTGCACATCATAATTGGCCAGCAAGAAACTCCACATTTCCGTCTATTTGATGTCTTTAAAGAAGTCGCTTCTGGATGTGAAGTACTTTCTAAATTCTATATTTCCTGTTGCTAATTTATTTTATTTACAGATTATTGAGGGGGAAAGACTTACTTTGGCATTATGGTTTAGTCGTGATAGTTCTCATGATGAGGATGCTAAACTTCTTTCTCTCCTCTCAGAAAACTCATTACATTGTAGTAAACTCATTTCATGGCTTCCAGTGCCCGCATCCAGTAATATGTACTGGTTTATTCTGGGCAATGCTTCTGACGACCAGTCAGGTTTCGACATATGCTGGGCAAGACTGCATGTGCTTGGATTGGACATACTTTATTCTCCAGAAAATAGCTGCGACTCTGATATCTCTGAGTTATTGGTGGAGCCGCTGCGATTAGCAAGAGGAGATGAATTGCTTGAAATGGAGTTTGCAAACATTTTGCACGCACTTCAGGTATTGAAGCAATGCTCGTTCATAGGTATTGTAACCACTGAGTTCTTGCTAAAGGTTTGAAATTCTGAATTTTAGCTTTAAAATTTTCTAATTTCAGGGGGCTATATACCTTAATCTATTATGTTTTTCATCCTTTCTCTATTTTAGTTTCTCCCCTTATTCCCTCTTGTAGATAATGTGAAAGCATGTACAACTTAGAAACAATGAAAGAAGGTCATGCCTATTTGACAGATTTTACTCGTGGATAGTCTCCAACGGATGCGCTGAGATATTAATTATAATCCTTATATTGATACCAATGCTTAAGTTCGAGTAGTTAGGAATCTATTTTGTATATGTACATTCAATCCTTAATGTTGGGAATATAGGCATGTTGTCATTTACCCTCTCTCTCTTAAACTCTTAAGAGTTGCTCTAAGCTGTCTTTGTTCGAGCAGGGTTCTTAGTAAGGTACTAATTCGAGGTCAATTTTGCACCTTGAACTGATATTCCTGTTTGATGTAACTGAATTTACCATTGCTCAATACTACTTTCCGGCCACCGTCCTTTATTCATCACCGTTTTATTAAGTAATCAGAGAAGTAATTCATAGTTAAATTGTGTTTGCCTCAAAATTTTGATCTTTTATCGTACAACCTTTCCTTGCATCATGTTGAACAGGTGGTGCAATACTACTGTTGGAAAGCCTCTGAATTGGAAACCACCACCAAAGTGGAAGTAGAAACAAGCAAAGTCATACTACTATCTGAATCGCAGCAGAAAAGTATTAGTAGCCTCAAATCTTTATTTTCAAAGGATGATCATCTAGCGGAGACGGTGTTCGGTCGTGCGGCTTGTGGCGAAAGTATGCGACTGTACTTCAATTGGGAAAAGTTTGTTGCTGCTGTTGCTATGTGGGAAGATTATGTGCGCCCGTCGTATGAAGGAATAGCACAAAGCTTACCATATTGGAGAAAACAACAATCTATTTTCAATGTTGCTTTCGATGGGAAGTAAACGGTACGATCTGTAACACTACTTCATGAAAATGTAGTAAAAAATATCTTCTTATGCATCCACTTGGATTGTCATTAGTTATGTGTAATTGTGAGGAAGATTTTCAACGAGAGTACTTCTCAAAGGTGCAAGGAACACGTTTGATTTGAATGACATGTCGTTTTTTAACTGTGTTTATGAAGAATAACGCATGTCGTTTATCAGGGAGATTTTCAAAAACTTGTAGCGTAATTTTATTTTTATTTTTATTTTTATTTTTTGTGTTTGTGCTTGCAAGTGAATGTCAAGTATCATCCTATAAGGATTGAGTTTTAGATAAGTTAAGTACTATAAGTTTTCGCAACTTAATTTTATCGAAGCAAATCGAATTGGAAATGATTGAGAAAATTAAATGAAAATTAAACTGAAATAACTAAACGATTGAAATAAACAAATAGACGATTTTATGAAATGCAAATTCAATAGGGACTTGACTTCACTCAATTCTCCCTACGTTCTTCCCATTTAGTAATTGCTAATAGTTCCAATTAACCTCATTACCTTTCCCAAATGTCAAATGAGATAGGCATAAATATCTAAGTTGATATCCCTATCTAACTCATCTACTTAAAAACTCATTAAGCTCGCCCTTATCGATTATTAAAATGCCAACGGTCTCCCGAACTCGAAAACGTTGCGTTTGGTTCAAGGATTCGTGTCATGATTCGATTCATGATTCGTGGTTCGCTATAGTGTTTTCTCTCACAAAAAATACACGTAAATCGAGAATAGTTTTGAATCATAATTTTGAATCCATGAACCAAACGTCCTATGTATTTTCTAATCCGATAAATGAATCAATCTCTCCCGATAATTAAAATCATAAATCAAAATCAACTAATTCATTTCCCATTAATTTAGAAGCATTAAACAAAGAGAAATACAAATGAGTACAGAAACTAGACCCGTTCTTTTCGCTGATTCGAGTTTAGAATTCGAGTTTTGCTACAGTAAAAAGCTCTCAGAAACAGTCGCATTTAACTTTTTTGTTACAGTAAAAAGCTCTCACATAACATCACATCTCAACTCGAATTAAAAACTTGAATTAGCGAACCGAACGGGCACTAGATTAACAATTAACTAAACAATCCAAACATAGTTCAAAAAAAGCTATTTCAAGCCCTAGAAAGAAATCTAGCCAAACACGCACAAATCCATAACCAAAATAATGAAGAATTTCATAAATGAACACAAGTTCAAGACAATATCACAATTACAAATTTCAACTAAAATCAAGGTAAAGGAGGAAGAAGAAAAACTATGATCAGATGGTCTTCGAGACTCGAATCCTTCAAGAATCCTCCAAAAATTTTTAGCCTTCAAAGCTTCTCTCTCTAAAAATTTATGCCTCTCCATCTTTCTTGGGAATTGTGTCTTTCCTCTTCTAGCACCCCTAGAGTTTTGGGCTTCAGTGGCTACTTAAAGCACTCCACATTGGGCAAATCTCGACCATCAATTTCGTACCAAGGGGCTAGATTAGTCCCAAAATTCCTTCAGCGTGGTAGGGGAGCTCGGTTGCCCGCGCAACCGTCTCGGTCAGCAAACTTTGTGCGCAGCGTTGCCGTGCATGCCTGTTTGACCTATTTCTTTCATTACCCACATAAGTTTAACCTAGCCATTTCATTTATTTTCTTTCACTAAACCTATCACTAATAGGTATGTTTGCATCATTGCATGAATTTGAAGATTGATTATTGAGAGCACGAATGAAAGTGGGGTGTGTTGACGGTGAAATCTCGTCAACAGAAATAGGCCGGGTCACCTCTAGGTACCCCGTCGGATTACCGGCTTGATATTGACTGTATACTCAATTTATGCAATGAAGTGTTTGTTGTATTTTTAGAATGATGAGCAATATGAGAAGAAATGCTTGAAGTAGAAGAACACACGAAATTTATAGTGGTTCACTCCGTTAATGAAGAGCTACATCCACTATAGTTTTATATTTCTTTTGAGATTGTTATAATTTACATTAACTGTTGTTCTCTCATTTTTTCTCTCTCAGGAAGCGAACCCCTTTCCTGTATGGGACTTTGCCCCTTTTATAGCCGAGATTCCTTCATTGGGTGGGTCTCCTTTGTAGGCAGAAGCACTCAAGTGGTTTGCCTTTCTAGGCCCAGACTGTAGCCCATTAATCACTTTACGAACTGTTCACTCAGTCAATTAGTCTCCTATTACGGCTTTGTGCGTACTTGTAACCATTTTCTGTCCCCCGTATGGCGGTTTAAGGGTTTGCATTTAATGCCTGCACTACAGACATCCCTCATTTCTGCACGCAACTTGCGATGTCAGGTTTTTCCCTTTTGGGGTATTTCTCTCGCCGTCTCTATTTGCTCAGTCTAGTTGTCTTTCTTGGCAATTGATTTTCTCCTGAAGGACTTCCATCGTAAGGTTGACGGTACGACCTGTCGTTGTCATGAGGAGTCGGCGTCCTAAGTTGGGCTCCCTTTGCAGCAGAAGGAAAGGGAGTCCCCAGCGTCGAGGGTTGTTGCCTTTTGAGGAAAAGCAATGCCACGTGTCACACTGTTGTTCTTTCACGCGTCATTCACATTTTCCCACACAACAGCTGTCCCCAGGTTGAGGGTTTCTTTCAGACAGCCTCGAGCTTAGGTTCGGTCGTACCTTCGTGCTTCGGGTGTGGGAACTTGATCTCGAGCCTTCGTCCGCAATGATGGTCTGGATGCTTCGGATTTTTTTGAGGAACGCAACCGTCGCGTCGGTCACTTCTCCATACTGATGTGAAGCCTTATTTCGAAAGGGCGAACGTGAGCCTTTGGATTGCGCCCATTCATTTTCCCGCCTTTGTCTGCTGTCGTCAGATCTGGGCGAGATGCCCCTGCCGTTGGATTTCATGAACTTCATCAAACGGTCAGGGGTCGAGGGCTTGCTTCCCCTTAAATACCCTTCGAACTGAGGTCACTTTTCCAAACACTTTTTAAATTGTCGTTATTCTGCCGGAATTCTTCCCTATAAATTCCAACCTGCATTCCTTGCCCTGTTCGGTACATTGCGAAGCCGTCTCAGTTCCAGACTTTGCTCAGAATCCGATTTACCGGCAAGCCTCACCATCACCCGTTTTTGTATTATTTTTACGGGCTTCTTATTGAATCGTATGCATGTGTTGATGTGGTGGATAGAGACTTACTCTCTACTTTATTTACCCCCATAGGATAGTTCTTTTTCTGATTTTTTGGTTGACTGTACGCTTCTGGCCCCTAGGTTTTGATGAACCTTGGTTACCATGAATACTCGCCGTTTCCATTTTTACATGAATGGTCAACGTCATGTCGAGGCATTTGAGCAGTCGTCGTTTAGAATGATCATCTTTTTCCTCTTACTCTCGACTTTAGGATTTTGACTTAATTCCTTGTCTTTTTCAGAACAATGGCCCAAACCCTCCCCCCCATCGAGAGGATCCTTCCGCCGTCCGACCAGACTCCCCTTCTGTGGAGGAGATTTCATGGTCATCTTCTTCTTCAGGCGTCGACTCTTTACTGAGGGAAGTAAAAGACGCTGAGGCCGTGTTTGGACCAGGTGATGACTTCGGCGATGAGTTCGGTAGTGTTGACCACATAATAGACGAAGTGGTTGACAGAATTCCCTTCACGGGTGGCAGCGTGAGTGGGGTTGCTGCTTCGCTGGTAGATGCCCTCCTGGCTGCTACGAGTGGAGATCTGGACATGCCTTTCTTTACGGCCGACATCGTGGCATCGAGGGTTCGGAATAAGGACATTATCCAGGCTGTCAAAGAAGGCTGCATTGACGGGAGATGGTTCGAATACCTCCTCCCGGATATGCATTTCAGGACTAGCATGTCTCCGACCGGATACCTCCCCGTTTATACCAGAGTTGTCACGGCGGGGATGACCCTTCCAGTTCATCCCTTTGTAAATGACTATTGTCATTTCTATGGCATCTCCCCTGCTCAGTTGGCACTGAATTTTTGGTACTGCTTTGCCGGCGCCTGGATTTTGTGGAGTCAGCGGTTTGATACTGATCTTCCGCTGGACGAGTTTAGATTCATGTACAGACTGTGCCACGTTGCAAGGTGCAAGGGTGGTACTTTTTGAGTGGGCATGGGAGATCTCAACCCAGGTTCGGCAAGTTAATATTGAGTATACCCTTATCGTCACATGGGTGAAAACTTATGTTTTTTATGATACGTGGGTCTTTTAACTTTCATCTTGACGACTGCTTGCCCTGCCGAAGGAAGATGCAAGCGTCGTTTGGGAACTTGGGTGAGATTTTGACTTCTCTTATTCTTTCCCCACTTTTTTTTTTTTTTTTTATGTTGACAGTCCTTTTATCCTATAGTTAGTCAAGACCGGCCGAAACTTGCTGTGAATAGATTGGCGAGGGTTGAGCAGGCTTTTTCGTTTTCGTCCAAAGCTCGTCATATTGACACCCTCCTGACCAAGTCCAATCTTCGAGACGCTGGGTTGATTCTTAATCTTCCAGACACCACCGATCTTGACGCCGTTCGCGAATATTTCCATTTAAATGACGAAGGTAAACTCCTGATCTTGACGCCTTTCTTATTCTGGCATTGTCTATCCAAACGTCGACTATATTTTTGTCTCGTCGTTTGCACAGAAATGGCGTCTTTGAGGATTCAGCTTCTCGGTAATCAGCCGCCTCAGCCAAGCCAGCAGCCCCCGCCAAGCCAATAACCTCCATTCAAGGAAAAGGAGAAAGCCAGCTCTTCTTTCCAGGGGCCGAGAAAAAGGAAAACCACAAAGGCCCTTTCGGTGTCGGAGGTGGAAGTTCCTGCCCTGAAAAGGAGGCACAAAGAGAAGGCGCCGGTGACCGAAACTTGGACGCCGACGGTCCCAATTCTTGATGTTGCTGATGTTCCTCCGGCGCCTAGGGAACGCGTGATTATCCCGGGGGTAAAAATGATAGATTCCAACTTCCAAGTCTCGGATATTTCTAACGCCGAGATTGGGGCTATGTTGAAACTTCCCCCTCGTTTCTCCCTCGTCTTTCAGGCTCTATATGAGTCTTTTCTCAAGCCGCACTGGATCGCCGCCGCCCAGTCTTCTCTGGTTGATCGTCAGCGCAAACAGATCTCCTTACAGATTCACGTAAGCCTCGATCGAGTTGCCTTTTCTTTTTGTTGATTTCGTCCTCTGTATCTTTATTTTCTGACCTTTAATTTT